ACAAAAATGTAAACATAAAATCGAAATCTACTTAGAGAGAGAGATGAAATGTTTTTGTTTTGTTGATTCATACACTTTGCAACAAGTATGCATATTTTCATTACTTACGTAAATTGAAAAAAAAATCAAAAGGTCATCACTTTCATCGTCATTATCAGCGAAATGGACAAGAAAAATGTGAAACCAAATGCTAGTAACTCATCGTCGTCTACCACAAGTAAACCAAATAAGTCATCCACAGCAGCAGCAGCAATGACAGTGGTTAGTAGAAATGTCACACAGCCACGCCCCGTCCGTCGGATGCTTCAAAATTTTCTTTTGGTCTGGCTTGATGCTGATTTCGATGAGTCCAAAGACCATTATGAAAAACCAATGAAACATCTGCAACATATAGTGGCAACGGTCGCAGTGTTTACAGATGTTGATGAATCCATTCATTTTCTCACTGACATTGAGAACGAAAAAGTATTTATGATCGTATCAGGTGCCCTGGCACAACATATAAGACCGATAATTCAAGAATGCCCACAGTTAGTCTCAATTTATATTTTATGTGACAATCAATCGATTCATGAGGAGTGGGTCAAAACAATACCTAAGGTAAAAGGTATATACACACAAATCGAACCAATTTGTAAAGCATTACAAATCGATCAAAAAAATTGTGATCGAGCTATGATCTCGATAAGCTTTAATAGAATTGATCCATTATTTATGTATACGCAATTGTTAAAAGAAGCACTTTTGCAAATAGAAGATGATGATGCAAAATCGATTAAGGAACTCGTTGAATACTGTCGTCTTCAAAGCGATGCTTCCCCAACAACGACTGAAATGATCGAACGAGAATATCGTAACCATACAGCCATTTGGTGGTACACAGGTCCATATTTTATTTACTCAATGCTCAATTGTGGTCTTCGACAAATGAATGTCGATATTATCCTGAAGATGGGTTTCTTCATTCGCCATTTACATAATCATATTACAGAATTACATCGCGAACAACAACACAAGGTGCCAACGACATTTCAAGTCTTTCGTGGACAAGGTTTGTCCATGGAAGACTTTGAAAAAATGAAAAAAACCAAGGGAGGACTTATGTCCTTCAATAATTTTCTGTCGACAAGTCGCAATCGTGAGATTTCACTGAAAACCTATGCACTGCCAGCTACACACAATCCCACTTCAGTTGGTATTCTCTTCGTTATGACCATTGACACGACTATTTGTACAAATTCATCGACACCATTTGCTGAAGTAAGCAAAATTGGCTTTTATAAAGATCAAGAAGAAGAAATACTTTTTTCAACACATGCGATTTTTCGTATCGATCGCATTGAACGAATTCACCATCATCAATGTAATCGGCTATACGAAGTTAATCTCACTATTGTGGGTAATGACAATCATGAATTGAACACACTTACAGCACATATACATCAGGAACTTAGTGACCAAACAGGATGGTCTCGACTTGGTTTCATACTTATTAAATTAGGTGAGCCTGCAAAAGCAGAACAACTCTATCAAATTCTCCTTGCAAAGACGTCTTCTGATCAAGGTCGAGCGGAGTACAATCATCAACTTGGCTCGGTGTATTATAACATGGGCGAGTACTCGAAAGCACTTTCATCGTATGAACGATCACTTCAAATTCAGAAAATAGCTTTCCCTCCGAATCATCCCTCCTTGGCTGATTCCTACATTGGCATCGGGTTGGTGTATTATAGCATGGGCGAGTACTCGAAAGCACTTTCATCGTACGAACGATCACTTGAAATTCAGAAAATAGCTCTCCCTCCGAATCATCCCGACTTGGCTACTTCCTACCTCAACATCGGGTTGGTGTATTATAGCATGGGCGAGTATTCGAAATCACTTTCATCGTATGAACGATCACTTAAAATCAAGAAAATAGCTCTCCCTCCGAATCATCCCGACTTGGCTTCTATCTGCATCAACATCGGTTCCGTGTATTGTAGCATGGGCGAGTACTCGAAAGCACTTTCATCTTATGAACGATCACTTGAAATCCAGAAAATAGCTCTTCCACCGAATCATCCCGACTTGGCTACTTCCTACCTCAACATCGGTTCGGTATATTATAGCATGGGCGAGTACTCGAAAGCACTTTCATCGTATCAACGATCACTTGAAATTCAGAAAATAGCTCTTCCACCGAATCATCCCGACTTGGCTTTTTCCTACAACAACATCGCTAATGTGTATAATGCCATGGGCGAGTACTCGAAAGCACTTTCATCGTATGAACGATCATTTGAAATCCAGAAAATAGCTCTCCCTCCGAATCATCCCGACTTGGCTGCTTCCTACC